AAGCGTCGACCCGCCTGGGGGCCATGTAGCTCTGGATGAGCATCCACCCCATCCTAAGCGGGAACTGGACCTGGCGAAACACCTGAAACAAAACCGACAATTTAATCATCTCATAGCACTTCACCATGTCTAGCAGCAGCGAGACACAATGATGAGACCTTGCCTTCGCAATCTCCGCTGCTAGATTTAAATCAAAGGCTGAATCGCTTGAGCTCATCCCCCTCCCAGTGCCCCGGAACGCCTGAACCCGCCCCTCCTCGCGCGCCGACCTGGCAGAGAGCTCCATTTCATGGTCTCTGTCCTGCGCAGGCGGCCCCAGAGCCGCAGCAAAGTATCTAAGAGGGCGATCATGCGATGGCCGCCGTCTGGCTTGGCCAGCCTGACCAGGCGACTGACCAGCCGTCCCGTTGGCCAGCGCCCGACCCTCTCGCAGCTCATGAAAAGGGCGGCGACAGCCAGCATTATGGGATCCGACAAATACTGCAACGATCTCGGGTGCATGCTCATGCGCCCGACAGCTGTGCGGGGAGGAAATTTGGCAATCGCCGCTCGCATGTCGGGAATCGTAATCTCGGGAAGCGGCGGCCAATCATCGAAATCGGGCGGAACTCGGGCGCTCGACATCCGTGAGTCGACCATATCTTGGCCCAATCCGAGCACGTCGCGTCCGCCAATTGAAGCGGCTGCGCTCGCTCGGTGGCCTCGATCGTCTCCTGGGCCCCTCGGACCTTGGAAAACCTATGAGCCTCCCGAGCCCCGCCCAAAAAACTGCCCCTAATCCAGGCTTTCCAGGACTCCTCCTTCAACGCCAAGAACCTGGCCTGGTGAGAGTCAGCCTGGCCAGGATTCGCTGAATCAAATCTTCGGTGGCAGGGTCGCCGAGGGCCGCTAGGCCAGAGAGAATAATGTGCGCGTCAGATGGTCCAGCGCCTGCAGGGTCGCCCTCTGCCTCGCGACGTTGCTCATGAACGCCTGCGCCTCAAGCAGGATGCGTGCCACCTTCTCCAGCAGGTGCAGCTGCTGGACCTCGCCCTCCTCGCTCAGCCTCGGGATGTAGGTTGCGAGGGCCTGGTTGACCCGCCTGATCTGCCGCGCCCATCGTGCTGCGACCGCCCACGCCGTGCACTCTACGTCCGCCTTCGGCAACCGAGTACGCACCACCGACTTCACCTGCTTCCAAACCGTCTCATGTGGGCCTGCCCGACCCTCATGTACCTTCCGCGTCGGCCCCATGATGTCGTGCCTGTCCAACAATTCCTGCTCGATACCGTGCACAATGCGATCCCAGAAGATTGCGAGCTCGTCGGCGGTAGTCGCTCTGCCCACCTCGTTGATGTAGCCCGCCCAGTCCCTAGGGTAGCGCGCGCAGCCAGGCTTCGCCGTCACTGGCACCGCACTCGGCTGCCTAGCCGCACGCACCCACAGGACCGCATCGGGCCCTTGCATCTGCACACAAACTGGCCTGTGCGGTGAAAGATTGGCCATCATACAAACCTCGGGTGCCGATGTACGAATAGCCATGTTCGCACTCATCACAAAGAAGTCGATCACCGCGCCTGGTATGCTCTGAGTGCACGTGGGAGTCGTGGTGGCCACAATTACGCCGCCGAAGGAAGCCGCCCATGCCTTCATCAGCGCAGGCCGCATATTGAAATCCGCACACAGCACCCAGTCAAATCTGAGAGCCTGCACCCTATGTATATAGCTGACTACTTCCGTTAACAACCGAATATTGTTGGGCCCGAAAAACTCGTCCACCCACAGGTATGCCGATATCGCAACGAAACCGCCTTTCATCTTCGAATGAATGTGGGCTGACACAGCTCTAGCAGGCACGAGTTCCCCCGACATCGCCAACGGCGGACACGTGACCTGCACGCTGGAAGGGCACAGCACCACAACCCCCCCTCGAGATCCCTGGTTCTCGGTTGCCTCTGCTGCCGACCACACACCATGAAACCTTGCTGCTGCAAGCCTGGCCTGGAATAAGCCCAACTTGTCGCACCACAGATGGTGCTCCTGGCAGCAAATCACCATGGGCCCTGTCCCAAGACACGGCTCCTCTGCCTCCAGCATCTCCGCCAGAGGACCATGAGAAGAAGAATTCACTGTAACGATCTGCATCATCATGCCTAGGATGAGGTACACCAGACTATGCACTGCACCGCTGCTTCTTGGCAAAGCTGGAGTGGGACTCACCCGCCCTCTTGACAGCCTCACGCAGCTCGCCCTCGTCCTCAGGCACCTCCACGTTGACCGATTGTAGGAAGGCCCGCAGCACCTCGGGGTCCCCGCCGGCGTTGGGGATCCAGCTCGGTGAGCCTGGTGCCGCGACGCCAGGCGCGGCTGCGGGGGCGGCCGCACCACCGTGGCCTTGGCCCGCTGCCTGCTGCTGCGCCGCCGCCTCTGCCGCCCTTCGCCGCTGCTTAGCACGGTGCTCCGCCTCAGAGGCCCGCACCTCCTCCAAGCAGCCATGTAGCCTCGTCGCAAGGTCGCCCGACCCGCCGAAGGCGGCGAGCAGCTCCCCCAGCTTGTCCACCGTGATCTCTTCGGACGCGACTGGCAGCACCTGCGACAGCGAGGGCTTCTCACCATCCTGCGGGCGCGGCACCTGGGCGACCAGCTGGCGGCGTTCCTCCTCGAGCTCCAGGAGCTCGGCGACGAGGCGGTCAAGCCCCAGCGCCGCCTCGGTGACCGCCGCCTCGGCCGCGCGCACCTTCTCCCGCAGCGCGACGAGGTGCTCCTCCTGCTTCGCCTTGCGCTTCTCCAGCTTCTGATGCTGGAAGGAGATCTCCTTGAGGCGTGTGTCGAGGCTCTTGCCCGCCACGAGCCGCTTGCGCAGCTCGCCCTGGCGCGCGCGGAGCTTCTCGCGGGCCTCGACCAGCTCCGCACACGACGCGTTCTCCAGCGCCGCGAGGTGGGAGCCCACGTCCGCCAACTCACGCTTGAGGTCCTCGTCGGGCCCCTTGCCAAACCGAGCTCGTCGATCTCCATGGCGTCGACCCCGCCGCTGCCTGGCGCCTGCTGCTGGCTCTTGAGCTTCGCCAGCTCTGCCCGCCTCTTCTTGATCTCCGCCTCATGACCGCCCGCGCCGCCAGCAGCACGGACGCTCTTGCTTGGCACCTGTCCGACGACCTCCTTGGTGCCGCCGAAGGCGGTGCCCTTATGCTCCTTGCACAACTGGCACTTGTCTTGGTCCGCACGATTCCACCACCGATCGCCCGTAGACTGTGACCAGCAATGCTTACAATACCATGGCTTTGCCCATGCAACCCGCTGCTTCTTGTGACCACTCTGGAAAGGACGAGCATCCTGCCTGGCAGGAAGCGCCATGAGCCAGCCGTGGTGAAGGACAGCTCGCGCAGGCGGGCACCTGCACGGCAAAGCGCGCCGAGGTAGTCGAATACACGAATCACCCTGACTGGTAATGCCAGGGGAAAAGCTGTTGGGGCCGCTTGCGCCTCTGGGGCGCCCCCAGTGCTTGAAAGCTCCGTCCGCTGCTGACGCCTGGGCCACGCTACGGACTTGAGCCAAAATGGCTACGGAAGGAAGGAGGAGGAAAAAGTGGAGGAGGAAGTAGAGGAAGAAGTGGAGGAAGAAGTGGAGGAGGAGAAACACGAGGAGGAGGAGGAGGAGGATACTGAGAAAGAGGTAAAGGAGGAGGAGGAGGAGGAGGAGGAGGAGGAGGAGGAGGAGGAGGAGGAACAGGAGGAGGAGGAGGAGGAGGAGGAGAACCAGTACCCATAAAAAAGGCGGGTCCGTGGGGAGAGGGGGTACCTAATGGAGGGCGCGTGTATCCGACGAGACCTTTTTGTTCCCTGGCGGAGGTGAGAACATCTACCAGGGCCCACCGAGATGGCGCCGCCCCGCAAGACAAACACATGCAGCAACACATCACATCCTGGGCCTCTGCTCTCTCCAAGAAAGCTCTCTTGCCCATGGCCTCTGCTTCCTCCCTGTTGGAGAAACCGAAGGCAAGCAAAACGTTGGCGAGCTCGGGCCGAGGAGCCACGGGCTGCTTCGAGAAGGGCAACACGGTCGTGGGCTCCGGCAGCCTTCCTGCCCCCCTCCGTCGGCCGCTCCGAGGCGCCTCGAAAAGCGGCCGCGGAGCCCTCGATAGCGCTCGGACAGGGCCCGAGTTCAACGAGAGGCAACAGGGACGGACGATTGTGCGCGCGCAGCCTTTTTGCGGACGGCGCACGCCCTGTTCCACGATCCATTCTGGGTCCTCGGGCTGAGGGTCCGAGGTAGGAGCACCCGCAGCAGTGGGAAGCTCGGGAGCAGATGGCCCAGGAACCCTTGTCCTCGAACTGACCTGTAGCAGGATGCTTTCTGGTAGCTTCTCGGCGACTGGCCTGGGGCTTATCCCGTGTTCGAATCTGGGCTTGCTGTTCACAGCAACGGCCCACAACTCTTTCACACCATGAATGGCCATTGTAGCAGAGGAGGTCGGCCCAGCGCCATCAGCGCTACGCGCCGCGCCCGCGCTGAGCTTCTCTGATTTGCTGTGGATTGCCTCTGCCGATCCGTGATCCTGCACAGACCTCGGGGCACTTTCCTAGGCCGATTCCTTTAAGAGAATCCACTCTCACATCGTATCGAAGCTCTTCGTCCCAGTCATGGCAGTCAAATGGCCCGAACTTTTCAGGCCAGCTTAGCGGCCAACTGGCATCCTTCCGAACGCTGAATGTTGACGACGACGACGACGACGAGGATGGGGATGAAATGAGGCCGATGATGAGGACGCTGATGTTGCTCTGAGTGGAGCAGGAAGAGAAGGATGAGGAGGAGGAGGCGGACGAGGAGGAGGGACGAGGGCGAGGGCGAGGACGAGTGCGATGATGGGGACGAGGGTGCGGAGCAAGGGGGAGGATAGGGAGTCGGAGGAGTTACCGGGGGAGGAGGCAGAGAAGGAGGACGAGGAGTAGAAGGAGGGCGAGGGGAAGTTGGAGGAAAAGGAGGACGAGGAGGGCAGGCGCGTGCCCACGTCAGACCTCCGAGGAGCGCCTCGCCGCCGACGCGGACCACGCCCGCGCGCTCCTGGAGAGCTCCGTGGAGCCGGCGCGGCGGGCTCTGCGCCAGATCGAGGACATTGACGATGAGGGCATGGGCCACGCTCACATCCGAGCGACGGAAGGAAACGGGTTCGACTGCGCCGACAGTCGCGCGTAGGCTTCCCGCGTGAGGTTGCGCGCAAACGCCCTGCGCTGGCGTCCCAGGTTAAGAGCCACCGCATGAGGTCGCCATGCCATCGTGCGCAAGACCCGTTTCTTGTTGTCGCTCAGCTGGGCAGGGTGCATTTTACAGTTGCCAGTGCCCTGCTCGCCTCAAATCTGAATCGCGGGCAACGTTAGGGGGGATAGGCTCAGCTGGAGATGCATCGACCCTGAAATTTCCACTCATCGCCGATAGGGGCCTGATAGCCCGCGGACGGTGCGGATTCGTTGGCGGGGGCCTATCGCCGATCTATCGGTGATACGTCGCCGATTCCATGGCGATGTTCCCCCCCAAAGCCGGTTCCCCCCAACCGCTGCCCCTCACTGAAGGGGGGGGGTCTGCACCATCTGGGGCGCTGTTCAGAGTGGTAGCCATGAGGGCCCAGGCAAGTCTCCAGTGCCACCGCTGCAAGCGCCCTTCAGATTCGAGGGGCTCGGGGTGCTGACAGCGGTAAAAAACCCTCTGCCCAACGTCCGACTCGACGAAGTTCCGAAGGTCGGGCGGGCAAAACGGCCGCGTTAAGTCACGTCGTCTACGAGCTGGTGGAATACATCCGTCCTAGGGCAGCCGAACGCGTCATACAGCCGATGATAGGATCATGGAAGGGGGAGGATGACGAGGTGGGTTGGGACCATGCAGATAGGAGGTTTCTGGCCGTCCCGGAATGGACGCCTCCGCTGGCAGAGAATTCATTGGTAGCTCGGGCAGTAATGTTTTGTTGGCAAGGGCATGGTAAACACCAGATCAGACTGGCTTTGTGTGCCCAAGCATGCCGTTCCGTGCTAGTACGCGCCATGCGTGCCTTGTTGCTTTGTGCTTTGTGCCGTGCCTGCCGTGCCGTGCCGTGCCTTGCTGTGCTAGTGCATGCCATTCCCTTCGTTCCGTGTTGTGCATGCTGTGCCGCACGTGCCTTGCCATGCCCGCTGTGCTGTGCTGCGGTGCGTGGCATGCACGCGTGCCGTAGCGTGCTGTGCCGTGCGTGCTCTGCCACGAGTGCCTTCCGTGCTGTGTGTGTGTGTGTGAATGTTTGTGAATGTGTGTGGCCTGCTGTGGGTTTCGTGCTGATGCGCGTGTGCGTGCTATTCCATGCTGTGCGTGCAACGCTGTGCATGCAGTGGTTCGGTGCTGGACATTCCCGCATCTTTGTGAAATCGCGCCCCGTTACCCAGGTTGTACGGTCATTGCCGACCCTTTCGATACGTGTGTGGCACGATCAAGGGCAGCGCAGTGCGCTCGTGAGGTCACCTTGGGAAGCTGCCCCCCTTCACGCCGCAGGGGTCAGGACATTGGCCACAGTTCAAGGCTCGACAGTTCTCTGCACACCTCGAATAATCATAGCACAAGCAGTAGTTAGGAGGAGCCTAATGAGGAACACATGTGGGTGCCGCAAGACTTCGTGACGAGTCACATTCGCTATAATTTTGCTGAATCGGTTCTCGAGCCTGTGCGTGGCCCACAGAAGGCCGCCCGGGGCATCAGCACCGCCGTTCTGGAGTTCTTAACAAGCTTCAGCCACATGGGCCCCCACCCGCCAGGAGAAGGCCCAACACAGTCAGGCAGCCTCTCGACGAGGGGGAGGGGGAGGGGGAGGGGGAGGGGGAGGAGGAGGAGGAGGAGGAGGAGGAGGAGGAGGAGGAGGAGGAGGAGGACGAGGACGAGGACGAGAACGATGGAAGGAAGAAAAGAGGACGAAGAGGAGGAAGAGGAAAGGAGGGAGAGGGAGGGGGGGGAGGAGGGGGGATGGGGAGGCAGGGAAGCAGGGGGGGCAGGAGACGCGATCCCCAAGCGGCCCCCTGTTACCACACTGGCAGTCCCCAGACCTCCCACGTTGTGATTTTGTACCGCCATGGCTCCCCGGAGGTCCGGACCTTCCTCAAGGACTGGTTCCTCCTCGACGTTTGTTTCGTCGCAACACGGCAGATGCAATCCGCACGGGCGCTCGAGTTGCCGGGGGCGCTCGGCGAACTAATTGTCCGGCTGCAGTAGGTGGAGCGCGGAGGAGGAGGAGCGGCCGCGGAGGAGAGGAAAGAGCGGGAGGGCAATCACCGCAGAAACCGACCCTTCGTCGAAGTGGACGAGTGGCCTTCGGTGCGGGTCCACGAGTGTTCCCACAGGTGAGAGGATAGCGGCTGGCACGGCGGCTGGCGCGCCAAAGGCTACTCTTGCCCTGAATCCTTTCCTGACGGCCTCCCCCAGAAGCCGATGGTTACCGAAAGCCTCCTGCCGTCATTTTTCGAGAACGAAGCGAAGCGAAGCTATCGCGCACAGAGCTGATGAAGTATT